TTATTATTATTATTATTATTATTATTATTATTATTATTATATTAGCATATGCATAAGATATCTTGGAGATGGGACCCAAGTCTAAACACAAAAATCATTTATGTTTCATTTACACCTTATATAGATATCATTGCTAAATGAATCAGCAAAATATTTTATACAACATTTTAAATAAATTTGTGCATTAAAAAAGATAATAACGCAAATGTGTCATTGTATCAGCCATTTCAGATTTTCAGATAAAAGATACTCGACCTGTATTAGTAAAATAAGCTTATGTGAATCAAAATAATTAAGTAACTTTTAAAAAATAATATAAGACAACATAATTTTATAAATAATCTGAAGAGAGACTGTGCATATTTCAACTCAGATGGACTTATTGCTATCACATGGATTTCAGGAGACAGCAATGAACTTTAGAAGGAAATTAGTAACACACTGTCCTATGAATGGACAAGGCTATTTAGCACATTGGTTATTTTTGATATATCCATGTTTTCCCTTCCTCTTCTGCATTCTTATAAAATGTCAGCAGCTTCTCTTCAAAAGTTTTAAACTGTTTAAACTGTTCCATAATGAACTGGTTTTCAGTCACTGAAAGCAAAGCTGACATCTCTCTCCTAACATTGAGATCACTAAAGATTTTTTTTATCTCTCTGCTCACATACTGCTATATACATGTTCCTAATACAGCTGCTCCTTACAGGAAAAGCCAAATGTTTCAGATTCTACAATATAAGAAACTGGTACTAGTGGCTCTGCAGCTAGTTCTTGATTTCTAGAAGCACCCTGCCTAAAAGGTTTGCATTTGCTTTGCATTGTTACATATAGCTCCTTTCTTAAAAAAATGACTCACGGGAGATTATTGCATTCAATTTAAACCAACTTATCCCTCATGAGATAAAGTCTTGTTTACTTTAAAAAGCAGGTGTTACTGCACTCAGCTGCAGCTGGGCGAGTACAACCTGTATGCAGCCTCGATCCCAGCCACGCTTATCCAACGGAGCTTGCCATTTTGAAAAGCTGCTGGATAAGCGTGACTGGGATCTGGGCTGCATACAGGTTCCACTTGCCTGGCCATGGCTGAGTGTGATCACACTCGCTTTTAAAATTAAATGCAACTGTATCCCGTCAGAGATAAGTCAGTTTAAACAATGCGATAATCTCTACTGTTTATAGGAACTGCACAAATAGGGCAAACTAATGATAGTGTCCAATGTAGTTACTTTTATGAGAGCCAGCATGGCGTAGTGGTTTGAGTGTTAGTCTGTGATTCTGGAGACCAGGTTTCGATTACCTTCTCAGCCATGTAAACCCACTGGGGTAAGTCACACACTTTCAGCCTTAGGAGAAGGCAATGGCAAACTGTTGGAGTAAATCATGCCCAGAAAGCCCCATGATATAATGCAGATTGACACCACTTTAAATTCTATAGCACCATCCTAGGGAATCCTGTGATCTGTAGTTTTACAAGGTCTTTAGCCTCTCCTGCCAAAGAGTGCTGGTGCCTCACAAAACTACAAATCCCAGGATCTTGTAGAATGGAGCCATGCAGTTAAAGTGGTGTCAAATTGCATTATTTCTACAGTGCAGATGCACCCATAGTCTGCTTTTAAAAAGGAGGTGGTTTCCTTTAACTATGTAGGTTTGTGTGTTATAGTAGCTGGAATGTATGATTTATTGAACTTCATTTATTTGACTTTGAAGACTTCCTGGACACATCAAATAGTACAAAATGGTTGCTAATTGGGACTGAAAAACTACATGGGCTACAGATCCCTTTTGAGGAACAATTCAACATCCTGGATTATCTATAAAGCCCTAAGCAGGTTGAGACTTACTGACCTTATGTCTCATGAAATTCCATCCTCCATATCCCTTGCCATCTAATGTAAGGGAGACATTGGCTAGAGCAGGGGTAGGCAACCTTTTTGAGCCGGGGGCCGGGTTGCTGTCCCTCAGACAATTTGGGGGCCAAAGCACCAAAAATAAATAAATAAATAAATAAATAGATAAATATTTTTTTAATTTTAAAATTTTAAATTTTTAAAAATATATGCATGCACACTCTGTCAGCCCCAGAAAAGCCATGGCAAAACCCCTGTGGAGATTTTGCCAAGAAAACCCCAAGAACAAGTAATAACAACAATAATCAATATCATCATGGCGGGCGGGCAGGGGGGCGGCGGCGGCGGCGGCGGCGGCAGGACCGGCTTGGGGCCGGTCCAAAGGCCTCAATGGGCCGCATCCGGCCCCCGGGCCTTAGGTTGCCTACCCCTGGGCTAGAGAGTGAGAGGTTTTTACTCATAGTCCTCACAGCTATGGGATGTACTTCCTTGTGTTGTTTTTGTGTGCCTTCAAGTTGTTTCTGACTTATGGTGACCCTGAGGCCTATCATTGGGTTTTCTTGGTAAGTTTCTTCAGAGGGGGTTTGCCATTGCCATCCT